AGGAGCTGTTTGACTGAACTCATTTCCCCTTCTCCTTTCTCTGCATTTCACTTTTTACATCATGTCTGGCTGGAAGTGCTGTGATAACAGCTATCTCTCCTTTAGCATGTGCAATCTGYGCAGCGCTGGACGTTGAGCTGAGTCAGTGTTAATGTAAACCCTGACAATAAATATCTGGCCATGCTCTGCCCCTTTATCCCRAGAGGAAGGTGTTGCTTGCAAAGGCAGACAGAGTTCAGCTTAGCTAAACACGTGATCTCAGTCGCTAATATAAAACATGCAACTGAAATACATCCTATGGACATATATTTATTTACRTCATGGTGTACAAGTGCCTGAGGAAGCGAAAAAAGTCATGGTTTTTGAAGTTTCCAAAATATCCTCCCTTTATATATTATAATTATTGACAGAGTTCTTCTTTGATGTAGTATCCAAATGTATTTCAGTATTGCAGACTATGATTCAACAGCATTCCAAGTAAACATTCTCCCTTTTTATTTTTTATATTCAATTAAAATATTAATTTAAATTATTTCTCTTTTAATGATTTCTAACTTAAACAGTATTATATTTAGTATTGGCTTAAYACTGAGTTGGAGTCACAGAAATAAGAACCAAAATGGTGTTATAAGCAAAAATTGTTACATCACTTCATCCTCTAAGTGGAATAATCCATAATAATACACCTTGTTATATAAAGACAATAGTACAGCAGCAGTAGAAAAATAGAGAGCTAAAACATGCTATCACAGAATCAGATAAATATCATACTGTTTGGAATTGTAATTTTAAAAAAACCTTGCTGYTGTTTAGCTTTCATACCAAAACAGTCAAAACAAGTTATTGATTTTCCAAATGATGAAGCTTCACTTCAGGAACTCCAGGCAAGTAAGCCAATGACAGACCTGTAAAGCATTGCATGAATGTCAGTATGAAGATTATAACTAATGCATTAATAAAACATTGCATGATTTTGACAGACAGAGATTTCCAAGATTTTATCATGCCCTAAACAGTTAACAGAAAAAAGAGATTCTTCAGGGACTTAATTGTAACTACTGCATGAGAAGRATAATATTAATCTTGAAACATTATCTGTTTTGTCTGTAGAGAAACCACAATATTTTTCATCTGAAGGTAACTTCATCTTTTATTGAATATTTATGTATTTTATTTATCTGTGAATAGAAGTAACTTTAACCACTATTCTAACTTCAAAGCATGTGCCAAAAAGCCATCTCTATCAATGGCATTCAACACGCACTGCATTCACTGGACTAGATGCTGCATTTGGAAAAAAAAATACCCTTCCTTTAGTCTGCTATTCTCTATGTAAAATCCACAACAGAAAAGCAAACCCATGGGCTGCTGCAGGGTGGTGGGAGGCCCAGGACCATTCAGGTAACTTCACTAGGACATTTGCTGGGCCCATGGCATTCCCTGAGCCCTCTCTCTCTGAGTCCCACTGCTGACTCTTCCTCTGCCATGTCAGGAGCAAATCCCCTGTCAAAACATCACCWTTTTTCAATACCTGCTGAACTGGGCAACAGACATGCTTTTAAATGTGCCATGGCTTGCCCCCTTAGTCAAGACCACACTCAACTGCAACACAGAAGAAAAGAGCCCAGACAGGATTCGGCCTGTGGCAACTTTGGAGCTGGAATCGTGCTGGATAAATACTGCCCCTGCTAGTGACTCCCAGCCACTGTGCCCTGCACTGCTTTCTGGATGTTATTTAACAGCCATTGGCAGGCCTTTACTCCAAGAGGTTTCCCTACTTTGTTTAACAACTTTTTCTCTTTCATGTTGGTTGGTTTCCACAATTCAACAGTAGGTTGCTATAAAGTTATGTCCTTGTGCTTTAAAATATTCTATCTTGTGTTTTTTCCATCTTTTTCTGGATCAGTGATTAGCCCTAGCCAATCTGAATTTTCCCTGCATGGATAATTTTTCTAACAATTCCATCAGCTTTCTAGTTTTTTTTCTGTTTTACAAAACAGATGATGAAGCAACCACAGGCACTAGTGGTACTCAAGGTGCCAAGCTCATAGGAGAGCCCAACCWTGTGCTCCATTTTGTTCTTTCTTTTCTTAATCATTAGTAAAATTCAGTTTCCCTTTGACAGTTAATGAATGTCAGCTGCTTTTAAAGGACTATCCACAAAGATCTCTCTCCTTAGTATTAACACTCCATGCAAATTTGTGCATCTGTTATTCYAGTTGTTTTGCTATGTTGCACTTAGTAGCATGGAAATGAACACTACATTTTATCAGCAGGTCACTCAGGACCACCGGGTCTTGGAAACATCTTGTTCTCAGTTTTAGTTTCACTGTCCAGTACCCCCAATAATTTCAGCAAATGCTGCTTTCCCATTATTCATCCTGTTTGCTCAATCACTCAGGAATTTCCAGGACAGAAAGAACTTCTCACTCSCCAGAAAATGGAGCTGTTAACCTCACATTGCAGTGAAAAGTCATAACTGCTCCTGGCCTTCTCTTTCTATGTCTTTCTTGGTCATTAATCTCTCTACCCCAGAAGAACACTATTTCTTTTAAGGGTGAGAGCTTCATGGAAAGTTCTCCATGCGTGCCTCACTGGCTGCTGCGTGGCATTTGGAATTGAGCCAGTGGATTGTATCAGCTATTGCCAAAGTGGCTGAGCTCTCCCAAGGTTTTTACTGATGGTTGCTTTGGCCTGAGGTGCCACACCAGGCAAGTCCCCTGCAGTCTCTGGACATGGACTCTCTATCTCCCTTCATTCCTGGATGGCTTCTTCAGCTTGCACTTCAGTATCTTTCCACCTGCCTCCTTCAGTGACATCAGCAGCCACTGCAACCACAGGGGTCAAGAGGCATCTGTAAGAAACCCCGGGCTGCTGATGAAGCCAGGGTTGATGAACCTGCAGCCCAGGGGTTTCCTGTGGTGAAGCAGAAAGCTGGGGCACGCGGTCACTGCACTCACTGGTGGCACTGCATTCCTCACCGTGCGTTGTGGGCTGGGGGTTTCAGACACCATCATGTCAGAGGTAATCAGAGGTCTCAGCCAGAGATAACATCTGGTCCTCACCATGGATACACCACTTCCTTTGTACTRTAGTGGGGCCTGCTCCTGTGGGTTGCTGGTGGTGAAGAATGCAATTTAAAATCATCACAGGCAGCAGAGCAAGTTTGCCACCTCTTGGCACTATCGCCAAAAAATCTTTCTGGTGGTGCTATCTTGTYGCCTCATCCATGACAGTCTGATCAGAATATTTCTTCTGGTTCCCCTCTCCAAGTAGCCAAAAGGTACTGAAGGAAAGACATGGTCAGAGGGGAAAATAACAAGGAATAACATCAGAACACAGACCCAGGACTGGGGCTGCTTACATCTGCTGGATCTTGATGGTGTGTATCAAGCTGCTGCCAAGAGGACTACAGACCTTCCTGGGGTGATTTTCAAGGAATCCATAGAACAGGCCTTTTCTGGGCAATGCCAGAGTAATTATGTCCAGGCCTGGGCTCCCCTTTGCCAAAAAGTGGTGTGTACCTTTGTGTGACATGGCAGGAATTTTCCACTCTTCTTCTGCTCCACAGAAGAGAGCAGCTTTCACACAGCACATGACACGGGAGGACAGGAGATAAGGCTAAGACCACTACAGATTGCAGTATAGTCCTACCCATAGCTAAGTGGGGCCATATTGCTTGGTGTAATACTTGTTTCCTACCAGAGCCCTAAGAAAGAATTTTATTACTCCTCTTCAGAGGAAAAAAGGCAGCCACAGAAGCAACCATTTGTTCTGCTACATAGGTTTAAACTCATGGCTGTGAAAAGCCTAGTTTCTGCTTTCTTCCAGGACTCTTCTTCCCTACARAACAGCAGTGCAGGCAACCGGACAGCCAAGCCCATGGCATGACTCCAAGCACGATGATGCTCAGGTCCAGACAGGAGGCTCTCACGAAAATCACTGACTGTGAGAGACGATAGGCAGCCCTACGCGTCTGCCTGTGCTTAGCAAGCTTGCTGTACTGCTCCTGTTTGCCAGCTTATCATGTGCACTTCTGGCAGAGAGATTTGCTGTACCCACAAGCATCTTACAAGTACATTTAAATAAGACACTTGTGCGATTCAGGTACCGACTTATTTTTCCAAAGCGCTGCTCCCGTCGCCGGCACAGTCCGCGTGCTATCGCTGCCCTTGAGTTGCTATTATTCAGGCAATAACTCTGTCAAGAGGTACCTTTCCAGGAGCACGCTGTAATCGGCAGCTCTGGGTCAAAACAGAAGTACTTTCGCTGAGAATTTCTGAGTGTTTCACCCTGTTCCTCTCGACTCAAGCTCGCTGAAGGTCGCGTTACTGGACACAATGAGACAGAGGAGCAGAGGTAGCATAAGCACGACCTCACTTGAACATTCTGATCGCTCCCCCCGAGCAACCCTCCACCTTGCATTCTTCTGGACACTATAAATAGTCGSCGGTGGGCTCTGCCGCCTCACACTTTCACCCCGGCTGCCCAAAAAGCCGTTTAAGCATTAAACGCGCTTCCACCCCGGCAGCCGTGCCGTGCCGGCGCATCCCGCCCAGCGGAGCTGCTGCCCCGAGCATGGGGCACGGTGAGCGGCCAAGGGGCGGAGTGAGGCGAGGCGGGACGGGACGGGACGGGGGCAGGCAGGGGCCGCCGCAGCGGGGAGGGAGAGGAGGGGAGGGGAGCCTGTCCGGCGGGACAGGCGCAGGAGCAGCGTGCCGAGCCAGCAGCCGAGCCGGGCGGACGGGAGAAGCCCGGAGGGGAGGTGGGTCGTCGGGCGGGGGTACGGGGCAATCCGCGGGGAGAGCGGAGCCGCAGGGATTGGCGGCGGCAGCGGGGCAGGGCCAGGGCCATCCCAGCCCCGCCCGGCCCGGGCCGGTCCTGCCCCCGCTGTCCCGGGGCCCGAGCGGCGCCGCGCAGCCGGAGGGGTCTGTTCGGCGGTGCCGGAGCGCCGTGGGACCGGCACGGACAAAAGCAGGTACCGCGCTCTGCCCGAGCCCCGCTCCCGCTCCCTCCGTCAGCGAACCGGGCTGGCCTCGTCCCGCCGGGCTGGCAGAGCCGTGCCCGTCCGGCTGTCGGAGCGGGAAAACACCGCTCGGGGTGTAAAGGAATGGTAGCGGGCGAGCCGCATGGGAACCCCGGCTCTAGGTGTCCTCACACCTCGTGGATAGAGCGGTGTTCCCCGTGTGAGACCGTCACGCCGTGGACACGTCGGGTAACTTAGGCATGATGTTTGCCACCCCAGAAGGCTCAGGTCGCAGCGCTAATGGAAATTTGAGAACGGAATACTGAAGTTTGGAGTGGGGGGGGGATAGGTCGTGAGCGCTGGGAGACGGGGGCAAAAGTCAAAGTGCCTTCCCTTTAAGAAGCGCGAATTAAACCATTCCGGAGCTCCCCTGTGAGGTGTGCATGAGTGCTACTCGTAATGACAAAATTTAACCTAATGTCTAAAAGCCAGAAAAGTAACTATTTGTTTTTCTGAGGCTGTAAACTGCCAGCACATTCACTTAAGAAAAAAATCCTTTGAAAGTTTGAGTTGTCTAAGACATTTTTCTGCAGCAGATGTTTATTGTCTAAACTTCATCTGCATCTAGCACTGGCTAATTTCAGTGGGAATGTGTACTGAAATGTGCTGCTGTTCTCAAACGCTCTTTCTGTTAATGAGACTACCGGGGTGTCCCTGATAAATTACATATATTTACTTTTTGTTTGGGAAGGCTTTACAGATACATGAAATATAAAAAAAATTGGCTTCAGATTTGCATTCTTGTCTTTCCCTTTGTCATTTTTTTAATTCTCTTTTTTGGTCAAAKTGTATTGTTGTACTTGGAAGAGAAGGGAGAATTGTTGTGTGTGTGGTGGTGGTGGTGAAAGGGCRTTTGGTTTCTTTGGTCAAGTCTGTCCATGGATATTTGGAAAGCAGGAAAATACCATTCCAGCCAAATTACACCAAATTACAATGAATGTACTGAATGCATGGTACCATATGTTGTAGCACAGGCAAAAGTAGGTAGTGGAAGGTGAAGTCCTATGCTCACTTTGTTCTCACTTGTTGCTTTGACTTCAGAAAAATTGAGTGCAGTTTAGATCACTGTTTTGAAAACAGAAATTTCTGATTTCTTTTAGCTATAAAGCGCCCGGTGGCTCATGAGATGATAAAAGCCCTGAGCTCTCTCTGGGGCTCTTAACCAGAGAGGTCACTGGAAACAGAGACCAGAGCAGTATGGGAGGGAGATGGTTATTGAAGGGTTTTGGCATCCCCAAAACAGGTTCCCTGTTGCCTCTTGGCATTGGGAATTATATATTCCCAGGGAAAAGCTGCAGGCCAGGAGAGCCAGTGAGAGCTATGACCCTGAGTTTCTACCTGTGCCACTTTGTGTTTTGGCTGGAGAAGACACAGGAGGTATGTCTTGCCGTGGGGCAGGTCAAGGGGCTGTGGCCGTGCACACAGCATTRCTTCTTCCATGGCATGTGTGGCAGAGGGACCATACAGACCCTGGGACACCCTGTAGATGTGACCCATGTAAGAGTCCCTGCTATAAATTGAAAGGGTGCTTGACCTCTGCAGGAGACCACATGAACCACTGGGAAAACCCCAAAGCATGCTGGTGGGTGAGGAGATTGCACAGGACAGGGATATCTTGGTGCTCACYGCTGACCCCAACTGCTCTCTCCATCCTTGGAGCTGGGATGACCAAATAGCTGGAGAAGGAAACCAAATTGTCCTGCACATGACTGTGGTTCTTGACATTATACCACTAGTTTGTACCACTGCCTTAATTTGAGTAATTTAGCAATCACTGTTTTAAACAGCACATCCATGGGGAAGTATAGCAGGATTGCCCCTGCACTGGAAAGMGGTTTATCTGTCTAGTGCTACCTGGTGGTGCTGAAATAGGGATCCTCTGCTCTACCTTAGAGGAAGAAAACTAATTTCCAGAGGTTTCAAGAGTTCTGGATGCTGAGGTACCTAACCATGGCAGTGCTGCGCAAACAGCATGCCACAGACAGGTTCTTCAGGTTGTTTTTTGAATATTTTGAACTGGGATCTGTACTTTGCAGCTAGTATGTGGCTGGAGCAAACTTGTTTTGAGGAGTAAATCTTTGAGCTGTCACAAAGCAGTGGCAGAAGTTGTCCTGACAACCAATGTGAATTTTTCTAACTGCTAAAGAATGTGCTTTCTGAATCACCRGCTACAAAGCAGGAGGTAAACAGAAGAAGAGTATGGCTGAAAGATATTCCTTGAAAATAAATTCTAATTTATTATATTATTATTGATACTAACTTTCAAATGTCTTGTRCATGATATTCAGTGGATAAGAGTCCTGGCAAATAATATTTTTGCAACTTTCTTACTAGCTTATCAGAGGCCAAGATTTACTTTTGTGGTACGAAGTTTGCTACAATAATTTTAGGAGAAGTAATTACTAGCAATGGCAGAGACTGTATGCTTTCTGCTGATGGAGTGCATCATCCCTGCCTTCAGCCAGGGGAACTGGAATAGCACCATTACCTTTAGTAGAGTCATGACAGTTTGCATCTGCTGAGTTGTGGGTGATAAACTCCTATGCCTGGCATATAATTTTCTTCACAGAAAGAAATGTGTTTGCCCTTTGATAGACCAGTGTGATAACTCACTTGAAAATGACTTAAAGAAGTCATAGTTATTTTGTTGCACATGGTGCTCTAAAATGATAGTAACATTATTCTCTCAGGCAGTCATCAGCCAGTCTGATGAGTATTGCTGATGGAGCTATTATTAACAAATACTTTTCTAGTCAAATATAATTGTTTATTTTACAGTGGAAAGCACTTGCAATTCATATGGACACAGTGGGATTTTGTTATAGGGCAGTACAATGAAAGACTGTGACATTTTATGTGATAACAGTGCACAGATTGTAACTGAATTACAATTACATTGAACCTTAGCTGAGGTGAAGCTTTTCTGTTGAGAGCTTCACTTACCATGCTTCAGAAGAGAATTTAACAGCTCGAGGGCCCAGCTCATCTTCTGGGAAAGGAATGAGGTGGTTGATGTCATCTTCTGAGTGAAAAAGCAGCAACTGGGTTTCTTGGATGTCTCTCCCAGTGGACCTCTTCAACCAACGTAGTTTGGACCTACGAACTAGAATGGGAAATAACTATAGGTAAACACCAAATTATGTTCTCAGAAAGTAATTTTAAAACACCCTGAATGTACTAAAGAGTTCAAGTCAATTCACTGTAGGCTTTTATAAGATTACTTATTTTCTGAAGGAGGCAATCTAGGAAAAGGAAGRGTGGGAAAATAGGGTGTGGGTCACCCTTTAAATCACTTTACTTTCATCTGAGATGTGGTTTGCTCCTCCCCTCATCCTCTGAGGGGACTTGAAAATGCATGCCTGACTTCCCAAGTGCCCAAAACCAACTGTTGGGTTGGCAGTGGCTCCCATATTTTTCCTGAGCTTAAGAAACCTGCATATAGAATCATAAAATCATAGMATAGATTGGGTTAGAAGGGACTTTAAAGATCACCTTGCTTCATACCTCCTTCCCTTGATAACTATCCTTTGAAAGTTCCTTTAWTGTGTTTGGAAAATGTTCATGACCCTTGCGTAAATGGTATGGTCAAGAGCTCTAGTTCTTATAAAGTTTCCTACACTAAGTTAATTAATTTTGGGCCAATGGGAAATGTCCATCCAGCATAAATATTTTCCTTACTTTTCCCAAAAAAAAAAAAAAAAAAAGTCAAATTTGGCTCATATAAAGCAAATTCTTTCCTCATCCCCATCCTTGTTTTCTTAGATAAGTGAAAAAATTTGCCATTTGGGGTATGAACACTGATTGTCACTGGAGTATGCAGCAACTAAACTGTAACATATTAGTGTTTACCAAYATTTTTTGGTAAAACAGTGCGTCTGACACCTTCTGATATGTTTACTGTGCAGATCCCTTCTGATATTTATTGAAAAAAGAAGACAGATTGGAGGAWCTGCTGTGAAAATGGAACCTCAAAGTCTATGGGAAAATGTTGCCATTAATCTAAGTCATAACTTACAGAAAATCAGAATTTCTGATTGAAAAGAGTAATCTGGTGTAGCAATTTTTTATTTTTTTAAAAAACCCAAGAACATTGAATATAGATCCTGTATACCTATGCAAAGGGAAAAAAAAACCCYTAGAGAAAAACAATGCTTATAAAAATATAACATTTTTTTTAAAAAAGATAGCAGAAATCCGACTGATTTGATTGGGAAGTGGGACTGGCTTTATGATGACTGGCTTTCAGTGCATCTTCTCAGTTGTAAATATCGTAAATTTACACCTTCAACTGTTTGAAATTATTTTAGGCATTGGCAACATGCACACTGGCATCAAGACTGGACACCAAATTTCTCAGGGTTTTTCCTTCTTCGGGTCTGCGTGGCAGACAGGAAGAAATTTTAAAAGCATAGAGTTTACCCTCCAGCTGCAGGGGCAGTGATGGCTGGATGGTGTTTTGGTAGTGCAATGTACACTTAGGCCTTTTGGAGAGGAAGCAAGCTGCCTGCTGTGCACACTGGGGCTTGCTGGGTCTGTTTGCTGATCCTTCCCTTCACTCTTCTGGGTGTTTTTCAGCAAGGAAATTTCATCGGGGGAAAACGCCTTTGAGCAGTCCCCTGTGCTGCCCCTGTATTTCTGCATCCAGGCTGTGTCTGAGCTTACCCACAGCTACCCTGAGAGAAATGGAGCAGTGCTCAGCCTCGGTGCCCTGTCCATCACTGTCCCTTGTCCTTGGCTTCTGGGTGTATGTTTGCAGCTTAAGCACTGCCTGACGTAGGAAGATGGGGACACTTATGTTCCTTTGTTGATTTTATTTTCAGAGCCTGGTTCAAGAGCCACTGTCCCGAATTAATATGCAAGGCGTGCCGGAGCAGTGGACACACGATGCCTACCCAGAGGAGTGTTGGGAGGAGCGTGGCTTGATCTCCCTCTTGTGGAAAATTATTGGAACTATATTCTCGTGATAGGAAGACAGTAAGTCGGGCATCCATCAGGGAACAAACGATGGCAGCAGTTACCATGCCACCTGATGCTCTTGTCAGCCCTCAAGGAAGTGAGGAGGTGGACTCTCTGATTGTACTGCATTATAATTACACAGGGAAGCTTATTTTAAGGGAAAAGGCAACTGATAAAATAGACCTGCCCACTATTGCATTTCTGATCCTATGTAGTTTCATAGTCCTGGAAAACTTGATGGTGTTGATTGCCATATGGAAAAACAATAAATTTCACAACCGCATGTACTTTTTTATTGGCAATCTAGCCCTCTGTGATCTTTTAGCTGGGATTGTTTACAAAGTAAACATTCTTATGTCTGGGAAGAAAACTCTGAGCTTGTCCTCCACAATCTGGTTCATTAGGGAAGGCAGCATGTTTGTTGCCCTGGGAGCCTCCACTTTCAGCTTGTTAGCGATAGCAATTGAGCGGCATTTGACCATGATTAAAATGAGGCCTTACGACGCAAATAAAAAATACAGAGTGTTCCTTCTCATTGGTACATGCTGGCTAATTTCGATTTCCTTGGGTGCCCTGCCCATCCTCGGCTGGAATTGTATAAACAACTTACCAGATTGCTCAACAATTTTGCCTCTGTACTCCAAGAAGTACGTTGTGTTCTGCATTAGTATCTTCATAGCTATTTTGGTTGCCATTGTCATCCTCTACGCCCGTATCTACATACTGGTAAAGTCCAGCAGCCGTAATGTCACCAACCACAACAACTCGGAGCGGTCCATGGCCCTCCTTCGGACTGTTGTGATCGTTGTTAGTGTCTTCATCGCGTGCTGGTCCCCGCTCTTCATCCTGTTCCTCATCGATGTGGCCTGCAGAGTCAAGGAGTGCTCCATCTTGTACAAAGCCCACTGGTTTATTGCTCTGGCGGTCATCAATTCCGCGATGAACCCCATCATCTATACCCTGGCCAGCAAGGAAATGCGTCGGGCTTTCTTTCGCCTTGTTTGTGGCTGCCTGGTGAAATCCAAGGTGGCCAGGTCTTTGCCCATTCCGCCCACACCAGACCACAGTCGCAGTAAATCCAGCAGCAGCAATACCCAGAAGCCAAAGGAAGATTTCCCACCGATGAATGTTGCCTCGTATATCGCTGAGAAAAATGAGTCTCCATTTCACAATGGAAACTTCTGTAAGTAAAGGACTCCTCGAGACCAGTACTTTTCTGTGTTTTTTAGGTTTAAGCTACAAGCGTAGTTTAAATATTCATGCACTTCAGTCACAGTGGAAAACACTAACCATTTATTTAACTTTGAGGACATATTCATCTACAATCATTTGCTTTGGGTGTTCATTCAGTTACGCACCTGATTCAGAAAAAGCCTTTCATCCTACCCAGTGCCCAGGACAGAGTCTGTGCACAGCTAATGACATCACACACCACAATGGCATTGCATGTTTACCTTCTGATCTTGCAAGGCGTCACCAAAAAGTTGGAGACTTTGGCATTCACTAAAGACTGCTGACGATTGGAAGATGAGCCCGATTATTGCCAACTGGACGAAGAGTTCATTACACAAGTTGGTTATAATTCCCTATATGTACCTTACTGTTGTGTTAATAGCCTTACATGTATGTGGTATAAATTGCTGTATATTTGTACAGTTTCTCATTAAAAAGTCATTGATTGGTGAAAGTTTACAATGAGCTAAATGTATCACACTATACAGTGTAAGGTGACTAATTGTACAAATAGAAGCATTTCAATGGGGATATTTAAAATGAAGTAGTAGCTTTTAGCTGTCAGAAACTTTAACAAGTCATATCAATGCAGTATTTTTATTTTTTCCACTGTTACTCAAACTTTTCATTTTTAGTGAAAGACAACATGACAGTTGTCACTGTGGCATTTCACAACATGTTTTAAGTAAGCAGTAGTGAATAACCATTGAGAGAGGATATATATGTTTGCTATTTAAAGTAGTTTAAATGTGACCCCTCAATACATGTCTAACAAGTGTATGTACTGTTTCCATGCATATATTTTTGCTCACTATTTTCAATGTATTTAAAAATGTGTGTCCAACCTGTGTAAACCTGTGTACATTGTGAATGCACTACGTAAGCAGAGACTCTTCGGTTCTGAAACAGAGACCTATCATTTCAGAAACCAACGAACCACAGTGGGTTCCTGTGGAGTTCCTTCTTCCCTCTCCAGGCCCTGCCACAGCCTGGGATTGTGTTAGAAGTTCTCCCCGGGAAGTTTAACCAGTGGGACAATGTCCCGTTTTCTGTCAACGGGACCCTGCACTTCTGCCACCTCTGGACACTTCTGCAGGTACCAGAGGGAAGATGCGGTACAACAGGATCATGCTCCGTTTATACCTGATCCTGCATGGATCTGGAAGGAATGCTTATTTAGTTTGGAAGATCTGGAACCCCAGCCCCAACMTTTTGAGAGGCTGTTCCAGAGGAACCTGGAAACAACTTCATAGTTCATCGCTGCCTTAGCAGCCTCAGTACAAGAGGGTATTTATTGTCGGAGGGGATCCCTGAAACCTGGAGCAGTAAAGACTTCACAGACATCTGGTGTCAGGTCCCCATGGAAGTGGCCTGTGGTACTTCCATCAATTGTACTTGATGGCTGGAGGCTTCAGTGGAATTTGAGGAGAAATTCTGGGACAAGTTCCACTTGTCTTTCAGTAAGAATGTATACATCTGACTTTCTTGAGCTCTTTCAAAAATTTGTGTTTAATGTCTCAGAACACACCTTGCTTTATGCACAATCAGAAGTAGTTGAGGCTTTTTCTAATACACAGACTGAAAGAGCTCTCCTTAGCTTTACTCTGGTCTTAATCATTTAAAGCAGCAGCATTAGACTATTCCCAAGTATCTATAGTGTACAAGTTGTTTATTGTGTGTAGCAAAAGCCTTTAAACTATAAAGGCTTGCATTGTGATTATCTTTTACAAATTAACAGTCTGTAAATGTTTTATGCTGTTAGAGAAGTGTATGAGAACAAAGAAGAATTGTATTTGAATGAARTAACTGTGAAAGAGAGTAGTAAATATGAAATTATTTCTACCAAAAATGTTGAAAAGCAATGCACTTAGGGACAAAAAGTTAAACCAAGCTAAGCATGATGTAACTATATGGATTGTAGATACAGGCTTCAGGCTCTGCAGCTTTGTGAGAAATAGAACAGATGACATTGTATTGCCATGGCTTGATTAGGTTTTTAGATTTTACATTGCTATTGGGCTGTATTGTCAAAGTTCTCCCCTAAAGCTGTGGCTTTTAAATCTGCCAGCTAAAGTATTTGTGTYCTTGTGTTAGTTCCCAAAGCAGTGGCACGTGGCAGCTTCCTTGTTATTGCAGAGCAGACAGGCCTTAGGAACACAATGGTTTGAGAAAACATGGTGGCTGAACCCCACCAACCCTCATGTCGAGGATGTTACAGGTGACAAATAAAGAAAATGTTCTAATGGCCAAAGTCCAAGAAAATGTACATAAAAGTGAGTTTTAATATCTGCATTCCAGCCTTAGCTATTGTGAGTGTTGTGCAAGGTACAAGTAATGCAAAGAGCTTCACTCTTAAAGGCCGTGTGATTGCTCGTTAGTACAAAACCCTTTCTATTCTATKTTGATTTCCTTCTCTTATTTTGGAGCTGTGGGGATATTTTGCTAGGTCACTACCCTGCTGTACCTGAAGCAGGTTTCTAAGATTCACGGGCTCACTTGTAACAATGATAATATAATTTACGAAGTACTCATGACTGAAGAGAAGATAAACTGGTCTGAACAGTCTTCAGTGAGTACATCCCATTGGGAAGTATTAGAAAAGGCATGGGTTGTGGATGATTTCAGAGCAGAATTTTAAATTAGAACAAGTCAAAGGCTTAACAGCAGTGGACCTTAAACAGCCAGGAAGATGACATATCCTTGAAGTGGAAAAAGATGGAGAATATCTTCTTTCACCCTAAAATATTAGAAAGTTTCTCCAAGCGTATGCCAGAATCCAGACCTTTTGTAATCCAGGCTGATTAGAGCATACAGAAAACTAAATTATGTCCTCCTTTCCAATTTGTTTTACATGAAGCAAAAGGTACAAAGGAGACTWACATTTCATTCATATTAATTCATGAATTGGAATATTTGTTTTGATTATGAATTATGAAATAAATGCAAATCCAGCCACCTGTGGAGAAAATAAAGGTTTTCACAATCTGCTTTCCAAGAGTCTTTTATTGCCAACAGTTTTAGAGAATGTTTTCAGCTCATTCGGTACCAGAAACATTTTGAAAACTTTTAATAAAATATCTCAAACCTTTAAACTGAAGGTGTCCAGTAGCAGTTATTTTTCAAAGAAGTGCGAAAAGGTTTTGGCCTTCTGTGGAAAACATTCATTTAAACTCTGGGTGTTGTGCCTGAAGGCAGAASGCTGGCTTGGTTGAGCTGGGTTCTTTTCTTGGAAAGGAGACTAAAAAGGAAGGTGTGTGCCAGTGGAAGCAAGCTCAGGTGACATGGGGAGAATACCAAGTTGCTGTTTGCCAGCGTAGGGAGAAAATTTGTGTGGTCAAAGCTCAGTTGGAGATGAAGCTGCCAGAGAAGTGGAGATGATAAAAAGAGTTATTTCGATATCAGTGACACAAGGGAGTTTAGAAATCAGCCCGTTAAGGGTGAGGATGGTCACCTCACAAACAGGGACAGACAGAGAAGGCACAGGTGTTTARGGCTTTTTTTGCCTCTGTCCTCAGCAGATCAGGGGAGTCTCAGTGCCCTGAGCCTGAAGGACTGTGACTGCAAGAATGATCATTCCCCARCTGACCCTGAAATTGTGTGGGATCTGCTGCTCCAGCTGGATCCCTACAAATCTATGGGTTCTGATGGGATTCATCTGAGAAGCCTCAAAAAGCTGTTGATGTCATTGCMAAACCTCTCTCAATGATTTTCGTGGGATTTGGGGAATCCAGAGAGGTCCCAGCTGACGGAAAACAGGAAAATGTTGTCCCAGTTTTCATAAAGGGCAGGAAAGAGGACCCTGCACACTACAGGCATGTCAGTCTCATTTCAGTGCCCAGTMGAATCATGGTCAAGATTATTCTGGTGGACACTGAAAATCTGGAGGACAATGCAGTTATCRGTCACAGGCAGCAAGGCTTCATGAGAGGGAAGAGTCCTTGTCAAACCTGATTTCCTTCTATGACAAGGTGTCTCACCCAGCTGGCCAAGGGAAGCCAGCTGATGTGATCTTTAGGAGTTTCACCAAGCTTTTCTTAATGTCTCTCTCAGGATCCTTCTGGACAAAATGTCRAGCCCACAGCTGAACAAACACATCCTGTGGTGAGTGAGCAGCAGCTCAGGGGACAGGGACAAAGGGTTACAGTGAATGGGGTGACATCAGACTGGGGATCTGTCACTGAYGGGGTTCCACAGGGCTCCATCCTCAGTCTTGTGCACTTCAACATCTTCATAAATTCCTTGGATACAGGACTCGATGGAACACTGTTTGCCAACAATACTGCACTGGGGGAAGCTGCCAGCTTTCCTCAAGGGCAGAGAGACCTCAACAAATCAGAGGACTGGGCTATCACCAGCCCTGTGAAGTTTAACAAGGGCATTCTGCACCTGGGATGGGGGAGCCATTGTTGTGTGTAGACTGGGGAATGGCAGGCTGGAAAATAAGACCTGGGAGAGCATCACTGTGGAGAGGGACTTGAGGATCCTGGTCAGTGACAAGTTGAACATGAGGCAGCAGTGCCCTGTCAGCCAGGAGGGATAACTSTGTCCTGGGGTGCACCAGGCACAGCCGGSCAAGGGAGGGGATTGTCCCGCTCTGCCCTGACCTGAGGTGGCCTCACCTGGAGTCCTGAGGACAGTTTTGGGCACCACAATATAAACAAGGCAATAGGCTGTGAGAGAGTGTCCAACAGAAATCTGTAAGGATGGTGAGGGGTTTGGAGGGGAAGCTGTGTGAGGAGCAGTTGAGGCTGCTTGGTCTTCTCAGCCTAGAAGAGACAGAGAGAAGATCTCATTGTGGTCTACAGCATCCTCATGAGGGAAGGGACCTCTTCTCTGTCATGACCAATTACTGGACTGGAAACAACATGAGGCTGAGTYAGGGGAAGCTTAGGCTGGGTATCACGATAAGGTTTTTCACCCAGAGAGTGGTTGGGTGGTGGTACAGGCTCCCCAGGCAAGTTATCACAGCACCAAGCCTGAAAGAGTTGCAGATGCATTTGGAAACTCCCTCAGGCAAATGGTGCGACCCTTGGGGTGTCCTGCACAGGCCCGAGAGCTGGACTGGATCATCCTGATGGGTCCCTTCTAACTCAGGGTATGATATGATTCTGTGAACACTATGCAGCCCTGCATCCACCACCCCCARGGCTGGAGGGAGGCTTTGCCCCTGCCCCTGCTTTCTGGGAGTAGGGTCAGAGSTCTCTGCTGGGAGGGCTGTCTGCTCCAGTGGTTCCAGGCATGGCCACTCCCTGGAAAGGGACATTTTGTGAGAAGCCGCTGTAGTGAAGGTTTGTGCTGCCTTCAAGGCTTGTTTCCCACCGCCCTGGTAAGAAAACGGGTAACACAYTTCACTGTAGGTGAAGTGCCAGGCCCCAAAAAGCCAGGACCCTGCAAGGGTGTGATCAGCTGCTGCGGAGCAGGGATGTGCTGGTGTGCACTTACAGGTGTCATTTCACCTGCCAGCGAGATAATGACACTCACAGCAGGAGCTGGGAACCCAGGCCACGCTGGGGCTGGGGACACCTCCTTCTCATGGCCAGACTCACTGGGGACAGGCACAGCAGCAGTGCCTGGGRGTTTCTGCTGCTGCCCTGAGGGTCCCCAGCACCTGAAGAGGGCTTGAGGCACCGTGCAGAGACATGCAGAGGTTGCAGGTGCCCCTGCTGCATTCAGAGCTCCATTCTTCCCAACAGCAGCATAACTTCCTCAGGCTCAACTTTTCTCCATGTGGTCAAGAGGGAAGGAAGGCCTTTGCAAGAAGACAGGTGGTCAGGRGAGGAAGAGGATTAGGGTTAGAGCTCAGCACAGCTGAGCTTCCTGCTGCCATTGTGGAATGGACTACCCTTTTATGTTCTCACTTATTCAGTGTGCCAGGCAGGAAAGTTACCTTTCCAGGAGAGGGCATCATCTGGCACAGACAGAGGGCCTGTATTAACACTTACTTACATTCACRAAAATGGTGTTTGTCAAAAACAAGCTCATGTATGGTCTCTGTCAAAATGCATGGAGCTTCTGTGCTGGTGTGAGGGCAGTGTAACTGAGTTCCAGCTCCTCATGTGCATTTGGTCCTTCCCAACAGCTTTGGGAATTTTGGACAGAATTGGACATTTTTCATCCCTGATTGCACTGGGTTGAGTAATTCATTGACTTATTAGTATTTTCAGAATGGCACACATTCTGCTATAAAACGTGCCTCCCTTCAGGTCAATTAAAAAAAAAACCCAAGCCCGACCCCAAACCAAACAAACTATTACAAAACCTGAGCATATGAGAACAGAATCAAGCCCACTTTATACATGTTTCAATCTAGTAATAGTGCTCACTCTTTTATTACTTTGGTTAAACATATACAAACTGAATAACCAGAAAACAGTTGCATGACACTTATATTCCAAACTACATTGCTCAAGGACTTCCTCAGAGACAAAATTTGTCTCTATAGCTAGAATATCACAGTCAGCAAAGAGGCAAAAACTTGAGATTCACAAAAGTGGTTAGGAATATAAATTATCACAATATTTCCACATACATTATTTTTCTTGCAATTCTCAGTTAAAAATGTTTCTAAAAGTAATAAATATTATTAAATAACGATTGTACAATAAAACTCCCTTTTACAGCAAAATATTCACTTTTTAGTTTTGTTGTTGCTGCCCACACAATGCAAAGAAAAACATTTACCTCGAAAGAAGAAACTAGCTTCTTTCAAGTTTTAACTCTGCAGGACTTTACTGAGAAGCAGTTATCACACCAATCCAGACAAAAAGGACACAAATATATACTAATTATAATCTTCACATTCTTCACTTAATAGAAATTTTCACTTAATTTTGAATTAATGTATGCYTGGGTGTGTTTGATGTCTTTTTCCTCATGGAAGAAAAAGGAGGTCTGCTGGAAAAAGCTTTCATTTGACCTGKATTTTATTGAATCTTCATGATAGTTACATAAAGCGTAAATCTGCATCTTAATCTCAAATTCTGAGGCTACTTTTTTCTCTGAGTCATCTGCACTCTCTTACACAGCAGGGTAGCAGAATGAGTCATCCAGTTCTAGCTTCTTTTTTCCTTTGGTTTCCATGACCTGTTCCATTGTCAAACAAGGTTTAAACACTTTACATGGTGCTTTTGCTAGAAATGTGTAGGTCTGGAATATTATCCCCCTTACTAAGACAAAAAAAAAAAAAAAAAAGAAAAAAGAAAAGAGAAAGCCCTGCTTTTTCTCCCTGGAAGCCTTAGGAGATGTTTACATCAGAGTGTGCAGAGGAACAGACCAGGGCTTGTGAACATAAATGTCTCAATAAGAGATGAGCAGTAGGCTTTGTATCCCCAGAGGTTCTGCTTTAACTCTATCAACCAATTACCACGCTTATAATTTGGCAGCAGCTCTCTATCCCCATTAGTGGCTTATATGCCTACTGGCTCATGTTTCCAGGCTTCRCATTTCTTATCCCTGAAGTTTTCTCTCCCAAGACAGCCTTTCACTCTCTAACCAAGCCTTTGGTTAACTGCAGGGAAATTGTATTTCCATGCTRTCTTTTCCACGGGCCTGCCCTCATTCCAGGTGCATCCAATGCAGATATGACCAAGGTCCACAGACATTGTCTGTGAGTGAGTAGAAAAAGTCCTATTGATCACAGAGTGTTAAGCGGAAATTTGCCCACATCCTGACAGTTTTGAACTGTGTTTGCCTCAGTTTGAGCAAAAAAAGACCATGAAAGTCAAGGTGGTTTTGACACTGCACTAAGGTGTATCTGAATTTAGACTTTATGCACATGTATTTCGAAACTGTCTGGGAGATAAAAAAGGGAAGTATGTCTCTTACTTCAGCTTAGCTTTATTTATGCAAATATGGATTATGATGTACTTAATATAAATTTTTGGTTTTATCACTTCAGATAGACATTGGAGGCTAAGAACAAAGATTTGAAAGCAGGATTTGTAAGCTTTTGTCAGCATATTTACAAGTTCCAAATATCCCCCTTGCAAATTTCCTAGAAGATGCAAAACTTTGCTGGTTTTCAAATCTACTGACAAATATCTAGGTATGCATCTATTCTATTATTAATACATTATAGCTCACATCTGGCAGTTGATGTGCCA